GTCATGATATACATGATAGCCTATTGCTTTTTTCTCGTGATCATTTGTTTTAGCCGACTTCAGGAAAGGAATTTGTTGCCGAGAAAGATGCTTTTCTGTCCGTCAGTGGTCAATTACATTTAGAGGCCATGGTAAGGTTCGTTGTATGTTATGAAATGAATAATTAATCACTATGTCTGTAAATGAGAATTTGCCTACGCGGACCAAGTCCTAGTAGATTTTTATGTCCTGAGTCATGTCTCGCTTCCGTTAGTTCGTGCTTTCGTACCGTAAAAAGTTGTGATTGCGCATTTATGCATTGTCTGCGTCCATTAATTAGCTGTTAGTTCTCGAAATTCAATGTTTCTTTCGTCTAATGAACGAGTTAACTGCTTCGTTGTTATTTCAGCAGCATCTCTCAAGTCTACACGTCAAGCAAGGGATGCAGAGCTGATAAGCAGCAAAGCAGGAATCATCTGACTGAATTAAGGATGTTAGAAACAGAGATCGCGTTCTGTGACGTAAGTATAAAATGCCCTAAAAAAGCTCAGTAGAGCTACAAAAATATGCATTACGAAATAGAATGCGTTTTTGTTGCTTAGTCTCACCATCGTTTGTTTTTAGGATCTCAACATTTTATTGAAAATTACCGGAATTTTCTGCGCTTTTGTATTTTCAATTTGCTGAGTGATCCAGTTAAGATGGACGACTTCGATTCACTTGGACAGTTTTCTGCAAAGGTTCATCACTAACACCACAAGGATAGTTGTTCCGAACCGTATTACAGGACCACATGTTCATCTTGGGATCCATTATGGATACTCCACCCTTTCCCAGGTTACCGTATGCTGATGCAGTGAAGCTATTAACTGACAACAATCAAATTACCGGCAGGGGGCTGACCAAGCAAAATGAAGCATTTCTTGTAGGTATCATATGACGCCCAGAAATCTTGAACTTATCGTTAGCTTTTAGGTGGACTATCATAAATCTCCTGTCTTTGTCACTCATTTCCCGTCCGAGCAAAAACCATTCTACATGCTGCGATCGCCTGATGGGAAATTGGTGACTTCTTCTTTATTTTCAATAAATAATGGATCTCTGATACGTGTGCTTGTCATTTTCAGACTGAATCTTTTGACCTGCTCTGCCCCGGCGTATGTGAGCTTGCTGGTGGATCCATTCGTGAGCCGTCGGCTGAGATCATGCGGGAAAGAAATCCCTCCGTTAAGTGGTAGGTTTGGATTGAGACCGAATGGTTTGGAATATTTCCGGTTAAAGTATTGTCATTCCAGGTACGCAGAGATTCGCGAGCGAGGAAAACCCATATCAGGTGGATTTGGGTTAGGCTTTGAGAGACTGTTGCAATTGTTATTAGGTGTGCCAAATATTAAAAATACCAATCCATTTCCTAGGTGGTTCAAACATTGTCAGTGCTGAGCTTATTATTGTCATGCACACAGTCTAGGATTAAATGTTTCATATTTTTTTGATTTTTACTTTGTGCAAACTCATGAATACTGCCATACATTGCATCATAATAAGATATAATATCAAAATGATTTGGTATGTCTGGCGTCTATCGCTTTGCATTTCCAGACGAGGCAATACTTCTATGTTAACACTTTGTCCAAACACGTAGGATTTGTTACAAAATTCTTAGATTTTGGTTTGTATCTCTGTATCGGAATCCTATGCCAATGTTTGGAAGCCATTTTGTACATTTTGTTTGCTCTGTCAAATAATTACAAAGGATATTAACAAGGTCAACATGTCCTCTTTGAATTTGATAATATTATGAGACAACTCAATTAGTGGGAAGTTCTTGAGGATTTCATGGAACGAAGATCCCACTTGGTGATTACAAGTCTAATTAGGTAATCGCTCTTTTTTTTCTGCGCACGGTGTTTATGTAAATGTTTAAAGGTTCTGTAGAGTTCCGTTCATTCTGTAGAGCTTGTATGTTTCATAAATCTTTTGGGTTGTAAAGAAAGTGCCCGGGCAGTTTTGGAAACCCCATTTTAGACTCATTTTTTCGCACTCAGTTGAATCATAACGACGAATATTTTATATGATTATGTAGGAAAAAGCCCAAGCTTTGCGGACTTGCATTCAATTTTTATCGATGACGAGCCGTTTAGACCTGCACACCAAAAAGGAAGAAGATTGTGCAGCAATGCAAATTTCACGTTTTTTTCCTTTTTGCTGCCATTTTTTCGCGGTGAACGAAAAAAAAACAGAGGTTGGTCAGTCTGAATAAGGAGGCTGTCTACTTTGAAATCGCGACTGTGCTTGGATTTTACAATACGCGCACAATTACAAGATCTCAAACTTGCCTTTGATCGTACCTGTTTTCGCAGTCGGCGTCGATTTTGTAAAGATTGTCACGCCTCGGTAATGGGTCCAGAAGATGCGCGAGACGTTAACCCAACAATATTTGCGGCAATCAAAGATTTGATTCCTTCCGTGTGAAAAAGGAAGACTTCAAACTCATTTACTCAAGACTGGGGCATGTTTGAGGTACAAAAATGGCCGATTTTTTGATTTTTTCGATTTTGCACAGGCTATGCTCTAAAATTGTGACACAGTCTATAAATAACCTCACCAAAGTTTCACCTAACTACCGGATACGAGCTCTCCAGCTCTCTTCGTGCCTGAGAAATTCCTGCACGAGCATGCAGGATTTTAAGTCCACTTTCTTCCTTACTGCGCATGCTGGTGGCCCGAAATGAAGCGCTGAGGTCAATGGATTGAGCATAATTTGTAGACAACATTGCCTTTCCAGCGAAGTTTGCAGCTTTCAAAAAGGATCAATCTGCTTGAAGTTACAGCAGTCTGAAAAAAAAATTTCACAAGTGCCCGGGAACTTCCTCTACAACCTAATACAACCAGCCCGCCATCAAGTTTAAATAACTGAAAAGATGGATAAAATTTTTAGGAAAACTCAATATATAGAACCTATTCATAACATGGTAAAGTTCAAGAGTCGTTATATCCTTTTGGAGATGGAGAATTTTTCTGGAAATAAATTATCCTTGACTCGCGCAGCCTTATTTACAACCATAGCGGAAACTGTCGGAGATTTTCATGGTGATCGAGGATTTGCTTGGGTCAGAACTGGACTTGTGGTCAGTCCTAATATAATTTGAATATTTTATGAATAATCGCTGAACTTGGATATATTGTTGATTCAGGTAAAAGTTATTGATGGAGACATTGCATTGGTTCGGGTGGAGTCGTCAAGCGAAAAATTTGTAACCAGTGTTATACCATTCATCACCAACATAAATGGAACTGAGCTCTTTCTTCGAACCCTCTTCATCGGTGGGTTCCAGGACAGCTTCCCTGCTGAGCCACTTCATCAGAGCTTTCCAGGCCGGAGCATCAGAGCTTGTGAAAAATTCCTTATCAAATATCGACGAAAGGAACTTTATGGTCTTTTGAGAACAGCTGAGACAGGAGGTCAGTTTTTAATGTGCGATTTTGCAAGACGTGATAGCTGTTTTACAGTTGAGAAGAATGCGATACTGAAAGCTGTGAATTCCGTTACCGGGAAGTTGGAGTGAATGCAGTGCTTTGTTCTCTGCGCTGTATATAAACCATGTTGTCTGTTCTTGTTAGGCTGAAGATGATGATATGCCATTTCCACCTAGGCTTTCAAAGCAAAAGTTTATAAAGTGAATGTTAAGAGTGGAATAAAATAAAAAAATCATCGCCGTTGATTAGTGGTCAAATGTATGCCTTTTTAGAAAAAGCAGTACTGTTTTTTTGGATACTGTCTAAGCACATCGTCATGTTGTCAGCCCCTCTATGTTCTAAGTGTATGTACGGTAGCACACATTACGGTAAGGAGAAGGTGCTATTTGACGAGTACAGGCACTGGTGGCAAGCGGGTTCAAGTTAGTCCTTCGCCAGACTTTTGCACCGCCTGCCGAAAAGCTGGACGAACTTTATAGTCGTTTACAGTCTCCCGATAAATTAGGACTTTGTAATGTTCACAAAAAAAACAGTATTAGTGAGTACAATGGTCACTTCTCCTGTGGCCGCATTCATCAACGAACCCTGAGGGTTAAGCTCACCCTCCAGGGTTAGTTTAACCCTCAGGGTTCATTGGCCGTATTCATCAACCATAGGCTAGGGTTTACCACGGAACGCGATCTACCCGTATCGATCAACGAACCTGTGGCCGTATTCATCAACCCTGAGGGTTAAACTAACCCTGGAGGGTTAAGGCGTCAGTTACGCGTGCGCTGTGCAAACTCACATCACAGAATGCCTAAGTACGGGCTAAATTCACTTTATACTTCTATTCTTTCACTGTTATAGTAGTATCGTCAACGAATAAGCTTCTAACACTAGTTTTCATAATGCGTCTCTAGCATACTTGTGCAGCATCCAATTTTACAGCGTGAGTTTATTTTCATGTGTGCAATTGTGCAGTGTAAGTTCTACTTTTGCGCAGTGTTTTATACCGGGCTTGTGCTACTCTTTTAGGGGTCAGTGCGTGTTATTATAGAGGGGTTCTTCTGTTTTGGCACTTGTCAGAGTGGCATGCCATTTTTCCTCGTCGCATTCATTTGTCACCAAAGCTAGAATTCCTTTTCTCGCGAAGTCAGTGTTTCATGTACTTCGAATATGAACATAAAACGAAGTCGAAACTAAATACTATAACAACAATCAATACTAAATACTACAATACTCGTTGATCGTTTTCCATAAACTATTAGATGCGAGTAAATGTTTGTATGAAGTGTTAGGGTAGAGTTAACCTTGCTCTGAGCTAGGGTTAAATTAACCCTGATTAATCACGTAAGTTTAACCCTCCAGGGTTAGTTTAACCCTCACGGTTCGTTGATGAATACGGGTTAGTGGCTTTCGGGGTAAAACTAACCCTCAAGGTTAGATTTAACCCTCCGGGTTAAGCCTACCCTGTGTTTTATGAATACGGGTTAAACGCTTTCCAGGGTTAAACTAACCCTCCAGGGTTAGTTTAACCCTCGGGGTTCATTGATGAATACGGCCACTGGTAATTGCTAGTGCAAAGGCTGTAGAGAGAAATCATTTCAAATCGCAATTTTAGTGCAGCACTATTTTCTGCATTTCATTTGCAGTAAATTCACCTTCACTTTTCATTGCTGTAACACCTGTAGGAACTTTCAGATTTCTCGTTTCAATTATCAATAAGTCCACTTCTGAAACTGAATCACATACTGGGTGTTTGAAATATATTTTTGGTGTTCATAAACTTGCTGACATGATCTAATGAACCACAAAAATTCTTTTATTTGTCTAATCTCTACGGTATGCCAGTCGTGTCCGTTTTACTGGAGAAAGCACTATGGCGCCCTGAAAAGCTCATGATCTACAGTTCATCTTAAACCTTCCGGTATTAATTTAGCAGATTGCCTAAGATCTCACTGCATGCTCCATGACGAGTGGTCGTACCCGAGCTCTGGTGGAAAAGTCAGTGTTTTACTATAATTATAAAATAAAGTCGGTTATTTAGTAACTACGCCGGATGTAAAAAGCGCTGACAGTGATCTCAAAAATCAAGTGCTTTGGAATCCTATAAAAAAAACCCGTTTATCGAGCGTTTCGATTTCTTAATTGAATATGTGGATTCTGCAATCGCTTCCTGTAAAACAGTCGAGAGCTGCTGTTTCACAAGATTCAAAGGCTTTTTCCACTGGTTCCAAAAAATGTTGGTCAAGCCTCATTTACAAACGATTTTTTCTAATCACCGCTTTGGCATACACAGCACTACTTAAGCGGTAATTTTTCTTCCTTTTTTTTCGTATAGAGGACCCGTGCATCGTCAACTTTTCAAAGATCTCCGAAAAATGACTTTGAAGTTAGAAATCATTCTAGTGAATGAAAAACAAGTAACCTTAAAGTGAAAATCTTTTTTGTAAATGGAAATCAAATAATTGCGAAGTTGGTTGATAGATTGTAAATAGAATTTAAATAGCTGTGAAGTCAAAAATTCGAAGGACTTGTCCGCATGCGGGCTGCAACATTTTATGTACGAAAAGCTATGAAGATGTAACGCCATGAAGTGATTGGTAGTGCTGTTTGATAGATGTAAGTTGGTTGCAGTACATAACTATGAACCTTTTATTTTATCCTCTTTCAACTAAAACGAAGGCAACGACGAATCTGAAGACCTTACCGTTCCAAGACTCAGCGAATGATGCTATCGCGGGCCATAACAGACAGCAAATCTATCGATCTGTCGTTTTATCAGCATGTGTTATCGCGTTCTTTCAACCCCGTTCTCTTTCCCCGAGTTTGCCAACGTTTTTTTCTTTTACAGATTCTGTCTGCAAAAGATAACGTCTTTTTTTTTCACGAGCATTCTCTAGCACTCAAAATGTTCTGGAAGTCTAGCGCAAGAGTGAGAATTAACAACTTCGTCTTGGCCAAAACACAACTAGGAGAATTAGGGCTCCTTCAAAAGTGCTGTCATCCAAGTTTAGAAATATCTTTTGATTAGCAACATACAAACTCTTACCATCTTTCAATCAACTACTAGAAAACATGTAACAGTGCTATGGCACTGCTTTCTAAAAGTTTGCACCCTTTACAATATTCCCATACGAGATTTGCTACATATCTGGAATTTTACCTAATCTTCCTGCTAACTGATAGCTGAAGTTACGTCTGGAGTCGATGTATAGTAGATTTAGTGGGCATTTTGCAAAATTTGGGTTCTGACTATTACATGCATATATGAATTTATGCAGATTCAGTATCCAACAAAAAGTAGAAGAGATTATTCTGAGTTGAAGCCTTTGCTTATATGTATTTTGACATAATTCAAGCTGAGAAATTGTTGAGAACCCCTAAGAATTTTCCTTGAGTAGCGCGTAACAAATCCAGGCTCAGAAAGAAGAGTGAGGCAACCACGTAATCTATTATAGTTGCTGTTTCATGAGCCTTTCTTTTATCAGTGGTGTCTTCATTTTTCAGCAAGAAAAAATGGAATTAAGTAATATGCCATGCCTACTCTCCCAATCGCACTTCCTTCACTAAATCTGTTGAAACTTAAAGTGAGCTCGATAATTATGAAAAAATACGTGCTGCTTTAGCGGTGGCTCATGAATACTCGTCAGTTAAGAATTAATTTGAGCTCAAGCAAACATTCTAAAGGAAAAGCTTTGTTAGAAAGTGGGACTTCACTTATCTTGATATGCGCTATATTTTTTAGAAATAAGTCATTGAAACAAAAGCGTGCATTATTTTGCATTAGCCTAAGGATATTTGATCTGGTAATAGCGATGGTTCCTATGTTTGGTAATAGCTGTTTGATAAGAGCAGTTTTTTGGAAGCATTCATCTCCAAGGCTTGAGCTTTGATGCCGTCAAGGAGGAGCACGCTCGAAAATGCTTGTATCAGCTGAATGAGATAATGATTTGTGCCTGATGATAAGACGCGACACCGATCAAAATTTGTTCTGAGAAATTGAGCTGTTCGTAGCTATATTACAACCTATTATACAGCCTACAACCTATTTTCTTAGGACAAATTTCCGAGTTAAGGAATCCTTAGTCAATTTTTTAATAGGCCGAATTCATAAGAATTTTTGTCTTAGTGGTTTAGGGTTGGTCACCTTGTTCAATTTTATTTGAGTTGCTCGAGATTTGTGAAGGCTATCTTGCCTGGCATGATAGTCTAAGGTTCCTTAGTTTTCTCGGTTCGCAAACCATTTAATTAGTTTGTCAGCACTCTAAAACAAATAAGGTCAAGTGTTCTCATTCTCAGATTTTACAAGCAAAAGCTGATTATCTCGGAAAATCATTTACTTGCTCTAAGCTACATTGGGATGGAAAAAAAGCGCTCATTTCGTAAGATTTGTTCACCATATCATTTACGTTGATCGTGAACAATCTGGTTGGTACAGGACCATTAGTCCCTTCTATTTATAGATTCTGATGATAGTCCGAGATACCTGTAGAAACTTTTTGTCATTTTTGCATTTGCTTCGAGATTTGAAGGCTATTTTTTATCTTATCTCGTGCTGCTGGCACTAGCCTTAACTTTGAACTTTTAATTCATGCAAATTCGTTTCAGAAATATTTTTCTACTATTGCAAAGATGAGCCTTTTCAACTCCGAAGAATCGGATGCATCGCTCAATGACAAATTTCTGGCCGCTGTCGAAATAGTTCAGAATATGCCCAAGGAAGGTATGTACATAATAATTGGCAAAACATTTTTACTTGCCTTTCGATATGTTCAATGAGGTGCGAAAAATGTATCGGGTTTTTCTCTTGATTACCTTATAGATCTTCAGGCCCCTCAAGAAGGCTAATTGAAAAATAATGCGAATTATTTGCCTGAGCACAATTCACTTCATTGTCATAATTGCCAGAGCAGATTCTTTATGGATATAAGCGTCACATCAGATATACTGTAGATAAACAATGCCACATTTGATAAAATCGGCTCTAACAGAATTGGGGTGATTCTGTACATTCATCTAGAACACGAGTCTTTCTCTGTGCCTTTGTCTGGATTACGCACTTTTCCAGGACCGGTCACAACAACAACGGATGAAAAGCTTATGTTTTACTCTCTGTACAAGCAAGCTACACTTGGTCCGTGTACGGTTCCTCAGCCTGGCTTCTGGAATGTTGTCGAAAAGTTCAAATGGTCGGTCGATGATTGTTTCTTATGTAAAGGAAATTCTGTTTTGCTAAGGAAATATTAATGGTGACATTTTTAAATGTGAAGCGTTGAAGTACAATTCAAATCTATTTTTTAGCTGAGTATGTCGTCAAATGGAAATTACCAAAGTATATCATTACAGGAACGCGTGGAAGGAGCTCGGAAATATGGATACTCACCAAGCTAAAAGTACTTACATTGACAAGCTGGTACAAAAAATAATGTCGGCCAATGAGCACAACTCGGTAAACATTTCTTTACATTTTCTCTCACTCACTGCAGAATCTTACAATTAGATGGAATTCCAAATTATAGCGAGGCAGAAGGAAGTGTGGAGGGAGAGATTTGAAAGCACAACGTATGCCGCTTTGGGAATTGGTATTAGCTTCTCTCCCCCCCTCCCCTCCCCCACCATTGACAAGATTTGTACAACTCTCCTCTCCCTTAGGGGTAGGGACTATATGTCCAAAACTGGGAGGTCCCGCCGGACATCTGCAGCAAATACACATTCAGGCTGAGTATCTGCTGCATTGTCCGCGCTGGACCGTCCTAGTTTTCGGTGACAATAGTCCTCTTTCGCTGTCATTGTGGTCAGTGAACATCATTGCAGTGCATTTGATATGGTGCACAACGAAGTACAAGATTCTGTTACTTTCGTTAAGAAAATGTCTTTTTTGTTCAGGAAAATCCAGCTTTAATGCGACAGTTAGTAAATTTTTGCGGCTCAATAGTTTCCTTGAAGCGAAACCTTCTGATAATTTTTGTGTTGCATACAAAACTGGTTTTCTGAAGAGTGCTTCACTTTAACAGCGCTGGAAATGAAAAATGCAAAGACTTGAAAAAGGTTTCGCTTCGGTGCTCAGAATAAAAGGCAAGACCAGCCTTATCACAAGGTTAGAATAACTCCTGTAAAACTGTTTAGGCTCTGCATTTGCGGTCGCGACAAATCGAGGAACTTTGTCGACATTATAATAAAAATGAGAAATTTCCTTGAACATTACTGAGACTAGCGAAAAGTAAGAGCAAAATTACTCGTATTATCGTATTATTCCTATTTATTTTTCGATAACACAACCAATATGCCAAAACTTTCCCATGTTTACTTCATGGGGCCAAATACGGAGGATTTTTCTGGTTTTGCGTAACAAAGTCAGCTTTTTCGACGTTCTAAAATGTGAGGTGCACAGCTGGCACCGTGTCAAGCTGGATATCGTTTTTGAGGCAAAAAGCAAAGGGGGTATCGTTTTTGTAGTCGAAAAGACACAAAAATCGCGACGTTTTTTTAGTCAACGTTTCGTTTTTTTGAGGAGTCAAAGGGAACTTTGTACAAAATTTACAAGATCAATGGGGAATTCGCTTTGAAAGTTCCTGGTGCCAGCTCGTGCCAAGCCTTGGAGGTGCATCAGCCAGCAAATCTTTTGTTTTTACTTCTCGTTAGCTTCAGCGCAATGTTTGAAGAAGATGCTTCTTTGCTAGGACATACCATGAAAAAAAGAACGGTACCGTCGGAACATCTTATTATTCTAGGAATGGCTGCAGCATGAACTTTTTGACAAGCTGTTGCCGCAGTTTGCCGTCTTGGGATTACGGCCATCTACTTCAAGAGAAAATGCCATAGCGCGAGTAAACAAAACCCATGCTCCTGGCGATCAAGAAGGAGAGCAGGATAATAGTCATTGCGATACTCGTTCGCATACATCTTCACCATTTGCTACATCAGACATGGATTATATGGATTGTGATGAAGACGGAAGACAATCACGGTGCGATATTGCTTCAAAGTTGTTTTTGTGCGTGCTCAGACAACCGACCGGAACTTCCGCAGCGCTTTCGCAGGATTTCCGCAGGTGACCCGGCGGAAATCCTGCGAAAGTGCTGCGGAAACCCTGCAATCTCAGGGTACAGGGTTTCCGCAGCACTTTGCGGTTTTCGCATTTGATTCGCGATCCGTTTCTTCCAATCAAGCTTCCTCTTTGATACTAGGTTTTCCCTTCCAGTACTAGATTTTCGCTTTTTACTAAGGCATTATTCCCTTGATGGATCCTCTAGACTTTCTAGATGCTAAGATACGTAGACAGCGAGATAGTTTTGATGAGAAAGCAAATGGCGGACTTATCTGTTGAGCGGACTTATTGGCGGGATTTTAGGGTACGTAAAATCAGAGAAGCATTTTCGTGTATATATGCATAACCGAATAAGGTTGGAACAAATCGGCATATTAAGAATAAAAAACAATGTTATACTGATGGAAGAGCAAAGAATAATGGAAGAATAAGATAAAAACAAGAATAACAATCTCATTCACAAAGGATAATATGCGCTTCAAAGGGAAGATGGTCCTGTGGGGGAAATAAAACGTTTCCACTTATCGGGTGTCATTTTACCTTGTCCGCGCGACTGAAGCCGGCTTCGGCCTCCCTTCCTTTCTGTAATGAGTAATTGAAATCTCTTGATGTAAATCGTGCCTTGCCGCTAGTGTTCATCTTTGCAACTCCTTCGCCAAGAAATATGGAGCAAATCTGGGCGACTCATTTGAAATTTTCGGAAATTTCGAAATTTCAACAAGAGAAGCTCTGAAACACATTTGAAAATTACAAGAGTTTTCTGCAAAAATCAAGGCTTTACTTGGACTTGAAATTTTTTAGAATTTTCAAATTTGGAGTGACAGAACTTTTGTTTTGATCTAATATTCCAGCATTTTCCACACAAAACAGGTATGTGTCAGACTCTAAGGCAGGTATGTGTAAGTGAAAGTTATTATAAATTATTGTTGAATTTTCATAAATCAATACTTAGTAATGAACCAAAAGCTCGTCCCCATCATTTTCAAAATTTAAAACTTTTTTCCTTCACATCCGATCTGCACATGTTTATTTTGAAAGAAGACACGCTTTCTAATTGTACCTGGGGCACTTTTTGATAACTCCAGAGATCGAATTTGGTGAAGAAAATTACTCCATTTTAATTTTCCCCATGTTTGGTCGCAAAAATCTGCTTGCAGAAAATCGGAGTAATCGGTATAATAGCTATTATTACCTACTCTTTTTGAGTATACAAAGATTGCGCTGATTGAATTCTCTTAAAAAATTATGATTTTTAAGGAAGCCGTAAAAAAGAGTAAATACGATTTTTCTGGCATTTGCTTCGAAAATCATAACTTTTCATAAGGAGGTTAACCAGCGCAAATTTGGCACAGTCAGAAAGAGCAGGCTATAAAACCTATAATGCTCCGATTTCCGTTGCGAGTTTCAGTTATGCGACCAAATGCAGAAATTCTGAGAATGGAGTAATTTTCTTCTCCTGCTTCTATCTCTAGAGCTTGCTTCCATTGAAAGGTACTTCAGGTAGGTACTATTGGAAACATGAATCGAAAATAAACATGTGCAGATCCTTTGAAGATGTAGGAAGTACTTGGGAGAGAGAAAGGCATTTAAAACAGCAAAAACAGAGGAGCAGAGAAGGATAGATAAATTAAAGCAGTGGCGGTGCAAGAAACTTTTTCGAGAGGGGGAGGGGGAAAAAATTATTTGGTTTTGTGAGCGTGAGCAAGAGAGGGAAATTTAGGAGTGAATTTTCGTGGTTCCAATTTTTGTACGCCCTCGATTTTTTTTAGCAAAAAGGGGCGTGAAGTGAGCCACACCTTCGAAGATTGCCTAGACAGACTACTTTAGAGTTTAGAAAAGCTTTGATCTTTCATTATCTATAGTCGCAGACTACTATAACTATTCTTGAGATCCACCATGCCCCGCCCCTTTCTTCTGACATATTTCTGCCACATTTCTATTTTATTCAATCATTCAACACTGTTATTAAAAAAATTTAATTTGGAATTTCTCGAGCTATTGTTTCAAATCGTAAGTTTTGAACTTTTTATCTTTGAATCAAAAATTATTATTTTGTGATATGTGCGGTATTGTGAGAGGGAAAAGATTTGAAAATCAAAAGCAGAGAGTAGAATAGGATAGACACACGAAAAGCAGTAGCGGCGCGAGAAATTTAATTGAGGGAGGGGACGGAGGGATTGAAACTTTTGGGTTCGTGGGCGTGTGGCCACTTCCAGCAAATGAAAATTCAGGAATGGTTGAATTTTTGCGGTTACAATTTTTGCACCACCTCGATTCTTTTTAGCACAGCTCCTCCGAAAATTGTCCACAACTATTAGGTGGGACCAAAAGTACGTTCGCCACTTTTCAAAAAATCATAATTTCCTTTCGACTCGATGGATCTCTTTGATTTTATATTTTTCTAAGAGAGAAAATCATTCTCTTTACAATAATACCTCTGCCATAAATTGGCTCAAGAAAGTTCGCGAGTTAGAAGCAACTAAAGATTACTCAAGATTGGCATTTCAAGCAGGGTCACCAAAAAATTCTGAAATTTTTCGATAGAAGAAATTATGTTCTTTACTACAGTGCCTTTTCCAAAAACAAAAAGGATAGAGAACTAGAAGCAAATAAGAGAACTATTACTTCAGTTTTGCAATTGAGCATGCTCAAAAATGCCCAAAAACGTACAGAAAAGGCGGGATATTCATGAACATGAGTTTTGTGATCTCCTTCTAGCTGAGAAAAATTCGTGCCAATCGAAAGCAATTTTGATTTCGTAGAAAATCAGATCCGAATTCGGTAATATCACGAAAATCAAAACTGCTCTCGATTGGCACGAATTTCTCTCCACTAAAAAGAGAAGGTCACTAAACCCATGTTCACATGAATTTCCCGTCCCTCCCGACGCAAAACTGAATATTTCTCTTCATTTGCTTCTAATTTTCAACCTTTTTTGTTTTGGAAAAGGCACTATAGTAAAGAGCATAGCTTTTATCGAAAAGTACCTTCAGAATTTTTTGATGGCCCTGCTTGAAAAATGCCAATTTTGAGTAATTTTCTTCAGTTGCTTCTAACTTTCAAACTTTTTTATGCCAATTCATGGCAAAAGTACTGCTGTAAAGAGAATCATTTCCTCTCTTAGATGAATGTGAACGCAAAGAGATCCATTAAGTCGAAAGGAAGTTATGCTTTTTTTGAAAAACTGGCGAACGTACTTTTGACCCCAAATTTGAATCTGAAAATTTTTGAAAATTTTTCAATATTCACCAAGAGCTTGTAGATCACTTTGAAATTTCGGTGACCCATTCCCCCCCCCCTTAGTTTTGATATATTTCTACTTAATCACTTCTGCTTTATTTATATCCAGTGCATATTTTCTACGAAGTAATAGTTTTAAATTATTTGCATTATTATTCTAATCAAAGCACATAAAGCAAAGAAGTTCGACACACCTGAACAAGAGCGTTGTGCTTAGACGAAGTCCCTCCGTTGAGTCCTTTTCCAGCACTCCAGCAGCCTGGTGATGGTTGTTCACACACCTGCACCGACGCCTGAAAGAATACTTAGATTATAGATGAGAATAGGTTTACTTACGCCAACATTGAAGAAAGAAAGAAAAAAGAGAAAGATTAGAGGAGGAACAGAAGCGAAGCACTATGGAAAAGAAGAATGCGCTAAGCGCTGTTAATGTTGCGTTCGCTATTTCGCAATCGCGAATGCATGCACTCTCAAAGTCCTGCGGAAATGCTGGCAGGTCAAAGTGCTGCGTAAACCTTACGAGCCCCACTGCACTTTCGCAGCGCTTTATGGAAAGTGCTGCGGAAGTTCCGGTTTATGATCGCTGTGACGTCAATTTCCTGCATAAACCTCGCATTTTGGAGCGTGCACTTTCTCAATGGTTAAGAAAGTGCTGCGGAAATGCTGCAAGTCCTGCTTGTCCTGCGGAAGTTCCGGTGAATTGTCTGAGTGTTGATCATCAACTATTAAGTGAATCGCATGCAATGGAACCATTCACTGGAGAGCGGTCTCATTCTGGGAGCAGAAGTGATAGCGCATTCAGAAAGTACTGCGAAAGAATAGAGAACGAATTGAAGGTGAAATGACTTTCAAATCTAAACGAATTCGGCGCAATTCTTTACAGGTAATCTCTCGACAAATTACTAGCCTTGCAAGTGCTGCTGAATCACGTCATTCTACGCTTTTGGATATCCTTAGCCGAACGGTAAGCTTCTGACACATCAAACTGATTGAATACAGAGATTTTCATTCATTCGTTGTTTTCCAGCTTCAAAAATTTTGAATGTTGATCGATGTTTCTGTTTCTCTTTCAAGTGGGCTAACGTAGCTTTTACACTGTTTTTCTCCACACTTATTGCCGTTGGCTTTAGGTTACCATTGTTAGAATGAACCTTCTCACAAATCAAAAGTAAAGAACGTCAGGATGTGATCCCTCTAAAATACGTACTCCAAAAATGTGCACACTGCTTGATCGTGAATAATCCTCTTCTGATGGTTTTCGCGAAATTTGAAGTGTCATACATAGAGGGGCGTGCTTTAGCTTGATTTAGAGTACAAAGAATTACGGATCGGTAATTGGGAGTGTAAATTTACGGTAGCAACTTTTTTGCTGCCCTACTTCTACGTCTTATTTCATTGCGAACTCCTGTAATTCCAAAAAAAAACTCTTTGAACTCAACTTTTAGGTGGGTTTCAAGCTTACTGCAGTCCCATATCAGCGGCGGACCGAGGGGAGAAGACACCCTACCCCTCCCCCCCCCCGAAAATGGCTCGCGAAATTCTTGAAACTTACTTACATAGGTTATAAAAATGTGCAAACTTGTTTATCTTGTAAGTAATCAAAATAAATTTCAAAATTTTTCAAAAATTTCGGGGGGCGTGGCTGGCTGCCATGCAACCTTTTCCCAGATGTTAGGGTTGCTGGACCCGCAATTTTAAGAAGCACCAAATTTTTTTCGGAGTGCGTGGCTAATGCCACGCCTTTCACTCGAAATTTTTTTGCGCCTCCTTCCAGGAGGAAATTCTGGGACCTCCGCTATCCCATACGTATCACTTGAAGGGTTTAAACGGTATGGTTAGACACTTTTGATTGACCCTTGAGAAGCCGGCACTATCCCTGCCCTGCCGCAACTTCTGCACTGAGATTGTGTTTGAGGGTAAAAATCATACTTACAGCCAGCGTCACTAACTGACATAGTTATAGAACCTGCAGCTACTTCGGAGTGTTTTTTGAGCAAGGCTCGGTTGCTGTTGGTACGAGGCCCTCATAAACGTTTTGGCCATGATAAAAAAGGGAGATTGCTGTTTTTATTTTGCACTGCAATAGAATGAAGCCAGCTTTTCATAATGAAATGATACCTAAAGGTATGCGAAAACTCAGAAGATTAGAGGTTGATCATCAAGTATTGCTCACATTATTTTGTAAACTCATGCTGCGTTTACACTCTTTGTAAAAGGGACGGATTTTTTATGCTTTGGTCTTGTTCGGAATAGATATTTTGGTATGACGAATGTAGTATAGATTCACTCAGTGAGGCAGAAATTCGAATTATCTCACTAAGGCTTTGTAATGGTACTGCAGGCATAATGAGCGAGTGATTTCTATGTCGCGAAAATGTATATTACTATAATTTGTAATACTTTATGTTTTCGATAGCTCAATATCACTATGTAAAGCATTAGATGGGAAAACGCCAATGGAGGCCATTATGTACTATGAGGAACTTTAGCTGTAGCTATGGTAAATCGTAAACTACTATCTATAAAGGGTTTGAAACTCTCAAAATAAGGAGTCTCAAAATTTTTAGTAGACACACTGAATGGCTTGCAGCTAACTTGTTTTGGATTATTAAAATTTTTGGTGTAGCAACTAATACGAATCAAAGCTATTTCAGTGTCCCATAATTTTTTACCGTTTTTACTACGACGGTCGTCTTTTTGTATCCTTCCTTCAATTGATGCGGCTTGACCATTCGACAAGGTAAAACAACGACAACGCTCTACGAAATGGCTATCAAGAGTCTGCTCGAATCTTATTCCACGTTAAAGTTCTGAGCGGAAATCTGATAGCAGTCAAAAACGAGTTTTAGTGTCTCGTATCTCCACCCCAAAAAATTCCTTATTCAACTTAGCATATACTTGACAAATCGAACATTCAACTGTATACTTTTCGTATTTTTTGCCATGGCTAGAAAGAAAGAAAAAGATGAGTGGAGTAAAATGGCAAACTCCTTCGCTAGGCGTCTTGAGCCTCTCCCATGCACATGATCATAAAGCTCATACATACGGTCTGCTCCAATCGGGATCAGGACGGACCGTCGGCCTAAATTTGCGCTCGCAGCGCTAAGCGTCTGCGCTGCATATGCACGCTGTAGGAGAAAGCAAAAGGATTAATGAGAGAGCAGAGAAGCAGGCCGTAGGCGTGACCGCGAAACCCTAGCGACGCGGACTTCCGCCATCCCAATTTGGCTTGGTTGGGATTGGGGCAGACTGTACAGAAGTACGATCGTGTATACCCTTTGTAAATACCCCAGTTATTGAGAGGCGCTGATGTTTAGGGTAAAAACGGTAAAAAATTGTGCGACATCCTAATAATTTTTACGTAAACTATTATCTATAATGCTACTTGAAATTTTTTTGCCTTATGGTAATCAACATTTACGGATCAGAAACATATTAAACAAACTGATCTTTTTTTAACATTAAAAAATTTGTGACAGGATATCTCCTTCTCTCAAACAATGTCTCATACCAGTATAGGTTAGCCTTGAAAATATAAAATAGTCTTTCTAAACATCTCAGATACATATTTCAGGCCTTCCGCGTGCTCATACCACAGAGGATCTCTTGGAAGACAATTATAATCTTGATCATTTGGCCTTTCATAGCCAATATGCTTGTACGTATACTCAGAAATGCTATCGGTGTATGAGACAGAGAAATTCAGTTCTACTTTGTGATTATCAAATACGAGCTTTGTTTATCTGTATAATTTGAATTCTTGTAGGTAAATCTTTTCATAACTATCATATGTAGCAACCCTAGAGTCGCTAACAAGTTGGCCGAGAAAACAAATTATTAACCGTCTAGTTGTGACCACAAATATCGCTACATTTTATACGGTCTCTGATGGTTACATGTGAGAACTTACTCTTACCAAAGAGTTTCGCATAAAACGAAGAACTTTACAAGTCACTCAATTTTCTTGAGAGTCCTGTCACAATCTTACGAAATTTGAAAAAATTAACATTATCCCGAATACTACGCCCTCTCATCCAAACTCCCTCTTCACAGAATTCGATCAGAAAATAAACCTTTTGTACCGAAGACACTTTAAGAGAACCTTCAGGTTGGATTTTGTCATCATAATGAAAGTTACTATGAAAACTTTAAGAGAAAAACAAACATGATTTCTTTGCGCTATCTTATCAAACTATCTTTCGAGTTCCGGGCAACATAAAAAGATGAATTGATTACTTTTGATTCCTTTCCAAGAATCTTCTTTGGGCCAAATATTCCTAACAATCTCCCTTGAGAGTCACCTTGAAAACAGTGGAATCGCAAAACGACGATGTCCCTACAAAAGACTGGGTGTATGCCAAGATGAATGATAGCTGGCAATAAACACACTGTACTCCTGCGGTTGTTAATATGCCGCGCATAAAGTTTTATTTTTTGAAGCGATGTATTCTTCACTGGATCGAGAATGATGTCGAACGATAACAGTTACTGAGCTCCCGGCGTTTTTTTCCAAATTTCTAGATATCATAACAGGGTAAATATAGAACTATAAAAATACTTGACCTACACAAGGCATATGGCTGACACAAGCTACCTTCATGTTGGCTCCCCCCCCCCCTACAAAAGACTCAGCTTCACTCAAAAACGCCTAAAAAATTTTTGCAACAAAAATAAACGTATTCTCGTGCTCTGCTTGCCGCCTACAGGTATTTGTTTTGTAAAAAAGACCTGTTCCACAAACCGTCCATGGACCGATATTGTAAGAGAAATTATTAACTAGAGAGTGCGGGCCGCTTAAACGAGGAAGAACTGCCCTGCGGGCTGCTACATATCGATATTTGTCGAAAAAAAATATTTTTGAAAAATTGCCCTACGAACTTGCTACGAACCAATTTTTGAAAAAGTTGTTCTATGAACCGCTTAACCCCGGAAGGGCTGCCCTATAGGCTGCACATAAAGCGGCACCTCAAGGAAGGACTGCCCTACAAACTTTCAATATTCTTTGAAAATGTCCCAAGAGCAACTCTGAGACCGATATTTTGAGAGGAGGCAACTGCTCTACATATCCCCTACAAATCAATATTTTGAGTAAAAAGTCATATAAGACGCTTACACAACGATATTTTACGCCCTTCAAGCCAATATTTCGAGAGGGAACTACCTTCGCCGCCTACAGAAAGATAATTATAGTAAGGAATTACCCTATCGGCCGCCCACAGACCGATGTTATAATAAATAATTGCTTTAGCTCTACAAGACCCGCACAGACCGATACTGAAAAGGAGAATTGTCCTATGAGGAGGCACTTACACACCGATGTTTTAGAGAGGGCTGCCCTCCAACCACCCTACAAAACCTTATGTGAAAAAGAACCGTCATCAGGCCACTTATACTGGTTATTATCAAAAAGGAAGTGCCCCACAGACCGCTTGCACACCGATACCCTGAAAAACAACTGCCCCACAACCCCTTGCCCAAAGCATCATGATTATGCGAAAAAACTGCCTTATGGTGAGCTCTGCCTTACGTCTCCCAAAAACTATACTGCTCTAGGGACCGCTCACGCATTGGAAGATCCTCTACAAGGAAAGCCAACGGACCGATTGAAAAATAAACAAAAGGGCCATCAGCTACTCGGAGACCTATGGAGACTGCATGCGGGCCCCTTGCACATCGTTTGCCACAATTGGGCAGGAGCCTGACTGTTTACTGACTTTGTTGAACGCCATGAGCAGCCATGAATATTTTACTAAGAAGATGAGAATGTGAACAGATTATTACAGCAGTATATGAACTTGTAAGAACTGCCACAGCCACTGTCGAACAAGCTGGCGTGCTTTCAATAGAAAAAACTCAAAACGACAAGGTTCGAAATCACTCATACCCAGAAAGTACAGACTTGCGAAACACGGAGGGGGAACTGTTAGCAACTCAACGAGATGTCAGCACCCCAGAAACATAACTTGCACTCCATAGCCCACCCATTTCAGGAACACTGCTTGAAAGAAAACGATATTTGCCCCCTCAAAATACGCTAGCCTTGTTGACAAATCTGTACTCTCACACCCACCGTAATTACCCGCCCTATTACGCAACATGTCATCATGAAAGTGCAACGCCTTTGGGTTCCTTCATACTACGCCGCAGGACGCGGCGTGCACCGCTGCAGTCGCAGTGAGAATATAAGCTTGCTCGCTGTGAAGGAACCTTTCGGAGAACACGAACGTGCAGGAAATATAGATGTACATTCATAACGGGCGAAGCTGTGCTGCCATAAGCGCACATTTCCACTGCGACTTCAGCGGCGCACGCGAGACGCGGCGTGCTGCGGCAGGCTGCTGGTTCTGCGGCGTAGTATAAAGAAACCCTTTCCATTCTTTTTTATGGAATGATTTAGTACCACAATGGGTCGATAGCAAAATTGCAGATTGCAACTAAACTTATCGAATGTCCTTACTTCCTTGATTTAAGTCACTGACGAGGTTCGGAGGGTTTTGCAAAGCACGAAGCTCGGAGATTTAATTGGCTAGACTATATTACTATTTCGAAATTCACCTTTCTTATCACCCTTTCAGACACTTGTATAACACGCATTCACGAAAAGCTACTGCTCAGATTTCATGCTCAAACTATAAATCATGTCAAGTTTGATCACAATAATCTTTAAAGTATGATCACGGGCGCAGAGATTAGCCATGGGGTTTGAGGTGTAGTCAAGTCTTTGCAACGGTTCATCGCTGTTTGTTCATCGGTTTGCTTCATATGCTATGAAGTGGAATTGTCATCTGTTTTTGCTGTTTATGGCCATTTTCTCTGAGCGAGTGTGGTAAAGCTATAGAGGTATACGGTGCGCGAAGCTTCTTAGGCCTCGGGCGGTACTTTGAACGATTTCAACCGCGGCGCGATCGGCCAATTTGCCGAATGTTTTCAGATGCAACATTTGCGGTCTACATATGCATAGTATGTATAACTTTCGTTTAGTGATGAAACTCTCTATTTCTGTGCATTCAGAATGCACCTATGATAGTTACATACAACGAGTATGCCAAATCGCGTCGCAACTGAAATGGTGTGAAGTATACCTTAGGCCTTCCCCGGTACTATCAGCGCACTGTTATTTCTTTAACCTCTCTCTGCGTGTCTTTCTCTTTCAAAAGCTTCTGAAGAAAAACTTTGAAAATGATCCAAGCCAAAATTTGAATACAAACGTAAAGGGGGGGGGGTAAGGTAGGATTTCCATAATTTTTGATAGGTAACTAACGTATTTTTTTCCAGTTTCATAGGAATGAATGTCAGGGCCCGGCGGCAAATGACAAGCTCGAAATCGTTTTGGGTGAAAAAACCAAAGAAGATATCGTTATTGCGGGGATCGGGCTGAGCACCGAAAAAATGACAGTTTAGATGGCAAGCAAATCTGAGCTCCTTTCCCATAAATTGGGCTTTCGCGCTCATCAAATCGCGCCGTCGCTAACTGCCGCATGCGCGGCATCGCTTAACCGATGCAAATTGGAACAGCATATATAGGGTTGGGCCAGACTGCGCTGGAAAAGCGGCGTACGCCGCGTACGCCGCGTACGCCGCTTTCCCAGCGAAGTCTGGTCCAATCCATACACAACTACTTCTAAATGTATGCGGAACCATACGGCACCAAATCGCGTAATGAATGAACATAAGCTGCGTGAATGGAGGGAGTGCTAACGTTTTTTCCTAAATTTTTCGTAACTGGCGAATGAAGATGTGAACTAAGAGGGCTCAATGCAATGCGCATGTGACAGTATGGCATAAAACTCGACATATATGTACATGGACACGGGTCTGTAGGAGATAACCTAGAAATTCCATGGAAAAATGTATGATTGAAGGTTGTGTCAAGCTTTTCTTGAAGTTGCTCGCTACCAAATAAATAGAAGAAATGGCTTGTTTGCAGGCTTAGATGACGATATGGCACTAAATTTGGTCTGTGTACGCGCAGTGGGACTAAAGCACAGAATATGTACAATTGAAAAATTATGTAATAAAGAGCGTGTTAACTTTTTCCCAAATCAGGTGGGCAATTGTCCACCCAGTGCCCACCTGAGGTAGGCAAAACTTCCATTTCATATGAGTTCTTCAAAATTTTTACGTGAATCTGTTTTACACCTAAGGTTTAGTATGTAGTGACTTGGTTCCAAAACCCCTCCTCTCCTCCTTGTTAGAATCCGGGATAGTAATAATAGCCGGTCCCTTGCAGGAAGAAAGCGCGCCAATCGAACAACTCACGCACTTGGAGCCAAGTAGAAAATCGTAAAAAAAACCATGGTGGCAAAGGCAAAGCCGCTTCACCGATGTCCATTTGCTAATGCACATGAAAGAGTTTCTATACAGAAGGGTTTATGTATGTGTGTCACGAAATCTTATATATAAAGCTGAATGTCTGTTTGTATGTCTGTCTGTCTGTCTGTCTGTCTGTAGGTCTGTCTGTCTGTATGTCTGTACGTATGTTCCGAATAGAAAATTCTATTTCTGAACCGATCCGGACCAAACCTGGCACACATACACTACGGGCTCCGGCGGGTGTCATAGGCTACTTTTCGTCATCGATAAAATCGACATCAATCGATAACGAAAAGTGGACTGTGACACCCGCCGGGACCCGAAGTGTATGTGTGCCAAGTTTGATTCGGATAGGTTAAGAAATGGAATTTTCTATTCGGAACATACGGCGGAGCCGGGTAAGCCAGCTAGTCAAAAGATATTCTAGTAAGCTAGGTCAGACTCCAAGCTTG